GCAGTCCTGTTGTTCAGTGAGTGAGTGCCAGCTGTTTTCTCTATTGAAAACACTTCACTCTTCTGGTTCCAGGTAGGGACCACCTGGCTGCCCTAGCTTGGCTCCACATGCCCAGTTCCTGCCCGGGTGTTGTTGGGTAGGTTGAGCTGGCACCTTGACTACAGCTCTGCCAGACGGGTCCAAAGGCAGGGAGGGAGGCACCCAAGTTACTGGGGTGCTACTACCCAAAGAAAGGAGAAGAGACACTAGGTAGCCAACCTATGTCCAAGACACGCATCTCACTAGATTGTTGGAAAGATTAATTAGGTAACACAGAGAACATAGAGTGTCGGACTCAGAAGCTGGGGCTGCAATAAATATTAGTGATGATGGAAAGTCTTCCTACTAGGAGGGCACCACCTGGCTGGCTCTTCCATTACATGGGGGCTGAGCTCTAGAACATATACTTCTAGAATCAGCACATATACTCGTCTCATGACTGTGTTAAGCTAATTAGCTGAGACTGCAGTGACCAAGGAGAGGAAGGACAGATTAACTGGAACAAATGAAGCAGGAAAGGAAAGGAGAATTAGGAAAAGAAGCAAGGGAGTTCTGAGAAGAGGAAGAATAAGGAAATGAATAGAATCATCTCCTTGTGGGAGGGGAAAACATAGATTTGAGCCCAGAAGATCTGGATTGAGTCCAGGTGATACTATTTCTAGTTGTATCCCTGGACAAATTTGATTTCTTATCTTTAAATTGAAGTTCATAACGCTTACCTCATAGGATTTGTGAGATGCAGTATAAATGCCAAATACTTCTCACTTATGAGTAGTAATGACACTTTGGATAAAAGCTGTGAGCCATTCTTTCACCACTCTCCCCAATATTCTTAGTTGTCCTTATGATTCCCATTCAGGTATGACCACAAGTAGAACATTCTCTAGGTTTTTCCTATACATTCACTTAAAACTAGAGGTATTCATGGCAATAATGTCTGCTTTTCCAACACTTCTGTGCACTGGACAGGTACATTTAATGAGTGAGGATTAAGTGTGCAGGTCAGCAGGTGGGGTATAGGACATTTCATAAGGTAATGGGCATGTAAAATGGTATGCACCTTACTGATGAAAAGGACTTAAAATGGACTCATTCAGGAATTCCCTGGCAGTCCACTGGTTAGGACTCAGTGCTTTCACTGGGCGGGGGTGGGGGGAGGGTGCCAGGAGGATCCCTGGTGGGGGAACTAAGATCTCGTGTGCTGTGGGGCAACAAAGCCGGCAGCCTGCAACTAGAGAAGCCAGAGCACTTTAGGGTCCGTGCACTCTAGAAGCCATGGGCCACAACTACTGAGGCTGTGTAAGAGATGAAACGAGGGAAAAAAAGTCAACGCACACCACAACTAGAGAAAGCCCATGCACCACAATGAAGACCCAGCCAGCCACAAGTAGAAAAACAAACACACCATAGAAACAGTAAGTGGACACAGAAGCATTTAACAGCATTTGATGCACCTTGCTTGCCCAGGACCCAAACCTCTTCTTATTCTGGGGTGCTCTCTCACTGCAAAAATTTCAGTGGCATCAACATGTGAGCATGGGACCTACACATGACTGGCTGAAGATTCCCACCTCAATCTTAGTGTCCTGGGGAAGTGTCCAGTGGAGACCTCCTGGCCATTGCCCTAGTGACAGCTGTGGCCACACTCCTGGCAGCCAGCATTCCCTTGGCTTCTACTGTCTCTTTCAGCTGGCTCTTCAGCCTCCCTGTCCATATTAGCAGCTAGCTGCTCATTCTGCTGCTTTGGTGACTTGGAGTGACCTACACTGAGATCCCCACAGTGTCTCTCAGCCAGGGGCAGGGCAGCCAAATTATGGTGCACCCCCAATGTGTCCCCTTGGGGGTCCATCTCCAGGCACTGACATGGGATACATCATTAAATAACATAAGCCAGTGGGAGATTCAAATAATTGAATAAAACAGTTTCATTACAATAGGATGTGGGAATACATATATATATTTCTATATATATTATAGGAATAATATATATAGTACTATGTACTAGAAGAATGGAACTGGAAGCCTATAAATCAAATTGTTGACAGTCACTATCTCAGAGGCCAGAGAATTTTATAGAACTCTTTCTATGTCATGAATTCTTTCTAATCTTGCCATGTTTGAACTCTGGTTAATTTGCAACAGGTTTGTTACTATGAAAGTAGAGATAATGCCAATTCATTTTAAAGTAGGTCTGGTTGTATCACAGGCAGAATATGTGCTCCTGAAGACCTCAGATAACTTAAGAACTAACACAAGGCAAGGCCAATCCTGAAAAAGAACAGCAGGTATTTCCATTATCCACTAAACTGATGTCACTGTGTGTCAGGAGCATAAACATAGTTTAGAGTTGACGTGGCCCTTTAGGTTTGATGTTATGGATTCTTTAAAGAGAGCGTCATTTAATTGATGCAATTTATATCACTCAGTCCCAAATTTACATAATTCAGACATCTATAAAATGAGTCTACCTGCCTTAGAGTTAGCAGCCACAGACTGCATTCCTCTGCCTGGGCTGAGTATCAGGCCAAGACATCACACAGAAAGAGCGACGAAGTGAAACTGAGTGATCTAGGGCTGACTTTCTAGTGGTGGTGGAAAGCAGAGACCACTGAACTCAACTCTCCCATCTCTTCACTGCCTAAGAAGGAACAGATATGGCCAGTGGACGAGCTGAGGTTGGGCTGTGCTAACGAAAGGCTGCTTTACCTTGAGATCTTCGACCAGCGGGGAGGGGGTCCACCTCTCGGCCGATGCCTGGTGACGCTGCAGCTCCGGCTCAGCGGGGTACACGTGTCGCTCCATAAACTCCTTCAGCCGCTGATACAGCTCCCTGACTCGGGGGGAAAGGCCTTCTGGAGAGAAGATCAGAGCTCCCTTTGAGGCATGAGCTGGAGAAGAGTCTGTGGAGGTGACATAACTCCTCGTGCCTGGGGTCCTCAGCAGGGACCATGTGTGGTGGGACCTCGTTAATGGTTTGGTGGCTGGCATTTCCTTAAAAACCCGGAACCCCTCTTTGATTGCAAAATCCCATGCCAGGTTAGACATAAATTCTGTCAGCTTCCCAGTTTGTTTCGCAGTTGCCGAGCTTGCTTGCCCTAAGCAGAGGCAAAGAAAACCAGTGAGAAACCCCCTAAACAACCCTTAATAGTACTAATGTATAACAGTGTTGTTCCATCAGCAGCTACTACCACTGCTGAGCACTTGGCATGTACCAGACTTGGTGCTGAGTGTCTAAAGTGCAACTCACTGAATTCCTGGAGCTACATGACTGTTTAAATCCCCATTTTACAAAGATCAATAATCAGACTGATTACATTCTGTGCAGCCAAAGATGGAGAAGCGCTATACAGTCAGCAAAAACGAGACCAGGAGCTGACTGTGACTCAGATCACGAACTCCTTATTGCCAAATTCAGACTTAAATTGAAGAAAGTAGGGAAAATCACTAGACCATT